TCATACCCTTATAATGGGGCTGGGGATTTGAAATGTATAAGGATGGAACTCCATACCCTTAATATGGTCTGGGGATTAGAAATGTACAGGATGGACTCATACCCTTATATGGTCTGGGGATTAGAATGTACAGGATGGACTCATACCTTTATAAGGGCTGTCTTTAGAATGTACAGGATGGACTCATACCTTATAAGGGCTGTCTTTAGAATGTACAGGATGGACTCATACCTTATAAGGACTGTCTTTAGAATGTATAGGATGGACTCATACCTTATATGGTCTGGGATTAGAATGTACAGGATGGACTCATACCTTATAAGGGCTGTCTTTAGAATGTACAGGATGGAGTCATACCTTATATGGGCTGTGAATAAAATGTATAGGATGGACTCATACCTTATATGGGCTGTGATTAAAATGTACAGGATGGACTCATACCTTATACGGGCTGTCTTTAGAATGTACAGGGTGGACTCATACCTTATATGGGCAGTAATTAGAATGTACAGGATGGACTCATACCTTATATGGGCTGGGATTAGAATGTACAGGGTGGACTAATACCTTATAAGGGCTGTCTTTAGAATGTATAGGATGGACTCATACCTTATAAAGGCTGTCATTAGAATGTACAGGGTGGACTCATACCTTATATGGGCTCTCTTTAGAATGTACAGGATGGACTCATACCTTATATGGGCTGGGATTAGAATGTATAGGATGGACTCATACCTTATATGGGCTGGGATTAGAATGTATAGGATGGACTCATACCTTATATGGGCTGGGATTAGAATGTATAGGATTGACTCATACCTTATATGGGCTGGGATTAGAATGACATTAGAAAAAACTCACTGCAGTCGTCCTCGTCGCTGTCGTCTCCGCAGTCGTTCCAGCCGTCGCACTGCAGCGTCTGGTTAATGCAGAGGTTGTTGGAGCACTGAAACCTCCCGGGACAAGCTGACCAGTGACATTATAGGGTGAGGATGACACAGAGGAAGGGAATTTGGTGGACATCAGATAGAATTTCTAGGGTTAGGGTTAAAAGTAGTTTAAATGAACTTGTCTCACGGTTGGTCGGGACGAAGGCTTCGTACTCAGCAGTGAAGCCCTGGTCCACGTAGGACGAGTCTGAGGTGAACATGATGCTCATTTTGTTGCTTCGGCTGGTGACCACGGTGCTTTCGGGTTTTCTGCCACACAATCTGAAAATTAAATAATCAAAAATAAATTATTGGTTTTCCTGTCAATAATTAATTAGAAAATTGGTAAAAGTTTGGGACTTGGAACTTGACATGAACCTTGCTGGTTGGGACTCAATCACCATCAATCAAACTCCTTTTTTGTTTTAACAATAAATCAATTTTGATTGCGAATCCTGGATTACTCTGAACTTTGTGGTGCTTTGTGTTTGTCTTGTTTCGGACTTTTGACTTTCAAGTTGTAGATCTTCATGGGTTTATAACTTGATACTTGAAGCTCATTAGTTCGCAAGTGTACTTGATGATCTCGACCTGGCGGACTAGACTATGGATTTAAATCTGGATTAAGCAGCCAAGACCTGTCGACTTTTAAAGAGTAGGTTTTTACTAATCTGCCTTAACTGGTGGTTTGGTAACTTGGTGGTCTGGACTTGGTGGTCTGGACTTCCCAGCTCAGACTAATTTAATGCCTTTTAAACTTTTAAATCAGTGACTTTGTCCTTTCTTGACAGGTCACTGATTCAAGTGCCTGACTCAGTCAAAGAGGCCAAGAACGACAACTTTAATGACATCATGTCTGAGTCACATCACTCTCTCCCAGTCACCGTGGTGTCACATCACTCTCTCCCAGTCACCGTGATGTCACATCACTCTCTCCCAGTCACCGTGATGTCACATCACTCTCTCCCAGTCACCGTGATGTCACATCACTCTCTCCCAGTCACCGTGGTGTCACATCACTCTCTCCCAGTCACCGTGGTGTCACATCACTCTCTCCCAGTCACCGTGATGTCATAGCTGAAGCTTATGTTTGAGTCACATGTCCTGAGGCTCATCAAATGTTTCAAACCCTCAGAATTAACATCAGGAAGATGCGTGAGTAAAAGCAGCCTGCTGACCTTTGACCGTTGACCTCTACATAGTCATTGCTGCATTGGCTACTGGAGTTACCCAAGAAAAACTTCTTGAAATGAAGCTTCAGAAACATTTCTTTTGGGGCCTGAAAAATAAAAAGACAACAGGGACAAAACAATTACAGAAGCTCAAATGGAAATTCATATAGATTCATATCTGAGAATAATATGAATCAGTAAAGTTTTCTGTTTAAAGTAAACAGAAATAAAATCTACCTGCTCTCCAGAGGATGATCTCCTCAGGGTGCTGGACCTACCTGGATGTTCCACACACATTCGGTCTTTGGAGGATAGTTGGAGGGGAAGAAAGGTGACGAGAAGGATCCTTGGTGCTCCCTCAGCGTCCCTCCACACTCTGAAAACAGGAAGGAGACGCAGAGGTCAGAGGTCACACCGGTGACCCTCAGTCACACTGGTAACAGTCATACATGTGTGGCCAGTGGAGCCGTACCGAGCCCCCCCGCTGGGATCTGGGAGAAGTTGGCCCTGAAGCCGGGGAAGTTCTGCTGCTCGCTGGTGATGAAGAGGAGCAGCAGCACGTTTCCAGAGGAGATGAAGGAGAGAGACTCGTGAGGGTACCCACACTGCCTGAGGAGGAGCCACAAGATCATCTCAGTAAACAACAACACCTTCAACTGAACATGAATGAATTACTTCATCTCTATTTATTTAGTTAATTCTCTTTTTTAACTTAATTTAAACCCATGTTGTGTGTTTTTATTGAGTGTTCATGCTGGGACGCAGTAGAAGAAAAGGTTGTTCAACCACACGTGCAGCTATGCTCTTCTGACAGTTGGACTGATATAAATGGTAGATGTGTGTCTCATGCAGCTCGACACATGTTGACCCTCATATGTGGGTCACGTAGACGATCCCGTTTAAGTCTCAGAGGACGATGGTCACTACCCCCCGCTTCCCCTCCCGGTTCCTCCCCCAGACCTTCCGGTCCCCTGAGGATCCGGTGCAGGTCTCACTCTGTCAGGACCCGCTCCCTCAACGGGGCCAGCGAGTCGTAGATCTGGACAAAGTCCTTCTGGCAGTCGTCCTCCAGGATGAGGGTGTGGAAGTCCAGGCGGACCCGGTGGCCAGGCTTCGCCCTCAGCCGCCACTGCAGGTACACGTTGGGGGGGTACGAGGAGTCTGGGAAGCCTGGAGACTGGACCTCCCCCCCCCCGCCCACGTGCACGTTGAAGGGCTTCCTCACTGGAGGGAGAAAGAAGGTCACACCTCTTTACTTTTTTATTCACTATCACACAGTATTCAGTAAATAAACTATTTTTAATATCATTCAATGTCTCGGGGGATGCTCTTCATGCGGAATAAAGACGTGAGCTTTGTGCCTTTACTTTGAAAGTATTATCGTTTCTTACCCGACAGAGACTTCCTGGTCATGCGTGGGTCGATGGCTGCAGACGGAGAGTTTAAGTATTAAGATCCATCAAATTGTACAGACTGTTTAACACACACACACAGACACACACACACACACAAACACACACACCTCTCGACACCACGTTGTTGACCTCGAGCGCATCGCTGGGCCTCAGCAGCAGTCGCCCTCGCCTCTGCTGACCTCCGACCTCCAGGGACTCCACGGCGGCGTCCAGGGACGCCTGCTGGAGGACGTGCACGTCGAACTCCGACTGGTAGTACGCAACCACGCCCCCCCCGACCCCGCCCCCTTCGCTGCAGACACAAGGAAATTACCCTTAATACACATATATATATATATATATATATATATATATACACATCATGTACATACATACACATCTCACATCCTTCATCTTTCATTTTCATGAATTATTTTCATTTGCAGTTCTCTGCCTCCTGCTTCCAAGGTTAGCCTAGCTTAGCATAAGAACCGGAGGGAACTGCTAGCCTAGAGTTCTAAAACACTTCCTGTTTCTGGAAGACTTTTACTTTGAAAGGTCTGCTCGAAGTGATGGAAAGAATAATAATAATAATAATGATACTAAAGCCGGTCATGTGACTCATACCTGAAGGCCTGCACCGAGGAGCCTTTGAAGTGTTTCGCCAGCACGGAGTTTTTGGAGTAGATCAGTTTCAGCTGAATGACAAAAAGGTCATAAACACATAAAGGTATATGTGTGTGTGTGTGTGTGTGTGTGTGTGTGTGTGTGTGTGCATATAAAATAAAATATTTTAAAGCAACTTCTGGCACATTGGCATTGGAAGGAAAACAAACGAGTGGCAAACGAAACATGTTGCTAGCTGCTAGGCTAAGCTGGATATATATATGTATATATGTATATAAGCCCTTACCTGTTGACCCACCAGAGAGGCCAGGTGAGAGAAGCCCGAGCTCTCGGGATCCTCGTAGTCCTCCACGTAGACATGGTTCTGGATCTCCATGGAGCCGATGTAGAGCTTCTTCACCCGGATGTCACTGCGTACTGAGAGGGAATAATTCACATCCAGATCATTAATAATGATGCAGGACTAATTTGTCTGTTTCATTCAACCAGATTATGTTTAAATAAAGTTATGATGATGATGATGATGATGATGATGATGATGATGAAGAGTCTCACGGTGGAAGTGCCACACCAGCAGTCCGGTCAGCAGAGCCACGCTGGTCGCAGCGAGCAGCAAGCCGACTCCGATCCACGTCTTCCTCCGTCGGCCCGGCTTCTTCTGCAGCCGCTGCGGGTCTGAAGCCGGCAGGAACTGCATGGCGGGGTCCGAGTCCTGGTCCTGGGGGGATACCAGCAATGCAATGAACAATTTTCTCTGAGAGTTGCACTAGAAGTGTTACCTTTCACCCCTCACTCTCCTGCTACACCCCTCAGACTGGTGCTACACCCCTCACTCTCCTTCTGCTACACCGCTCAGACTGGTGCTACACCCCTCACTCTCCTTCTGCTACACCCTTCAGACTGGTGCTACACCCCTCACTCTCCTTCTGCTACACCGCTCAGACTGGTGCTACACCCCTCAGGCTCTCCTGGTGCTACACCCTTCAGACTGGTGCTACACCCCTCACTCTCCTTCTGCTACACCGCTCAGACTGGTGCTACACCCCTCAGGCTCTCCTGGTGCTACACCCTTCAGACTGGTGCTACACCCCTCAGGCTCTCCTGGTGCTACACCCTTCAGACTGGTGCTACACCCCTCACGCTCTCCTGGTGCTACACCCTTCAGACTGGTGCTACACCCCTCAGGCTCTCCTGGTGCTACACCCTTCAGACTGGTGCTACACCCCTCACTCTCCTTCTGCTACACCGCTCAGACTGGTGCTACACCCCTCAGGCTCTCCTGGTGCTACACCCTTCAGACTGGTGCTACACCCCTCAGGCTCTCCTGGTGCTACACCCTTCAGACTGGTGCTACACCCCTCAGGCTCTCCTGGTGCTACACCCTTCAGACTGGTGCTACACCCCTCAGGCTCTCCTGGTGCTACACCCTTCAGACTGGTGCTACACCCCTCAGGCTCTCCTGGTGCTACACCCTTCAGACCGGTGCTACATTGTGTTGCGTGTGAACCGGTTACTCTGTGTGAAGGTGAAAGAGGGAGCAGCAGTTGAACAGGAATGTTAGTTCTCACACCTCGTTCCCTTCTGACGTAGAGCTGCTCCCCAGTAAACACATCACTTTTCATATATGGAAGTGAAAACGGTATAATGACAACACAGTAACTTGACTTAGATTACAGTTGTAATAATCTAATGGATTGAATTGAATTTAGATGATGAATGTTATTTTATCATTTAGTTGATTGTTTAAAGATGAAAGTTGAGTTGTACTGTAATTACTTCGGATAGATATTATTACAACCATAACAGCATAAAAACCAGTTGGTCCTGCTGTGAGAACCAGTACAGAAACCCGGTTCTGCCTTCAGGTGAAACCGGCGGACCTACGGCAGTGATGACGTCACGGCCGGTTACGTCCCAGGTGAGGGAGCTCACCTGTCTCGGGCTGAACTTCCGTCCTGAGGGCAACAGATCCATAATGGTGTGAAGTGTCCTATTTGTTGCTATTGCTGATGTTATTTATTCCGTTTTCTCCCCTCGCGTCTCGCGCGCTGCGGACGTCACCGGCACGACGTCATGGCAGCGACAGGTGAGCAGGTCTCTCCTCGGCGTGTCGGTACCGGGTCCGGTTCACGGTGTAAACGGCTTCAGGACGGAAGAGGAAGCGCACGACTGCACACCGGAGGAGCCGCGACGGGTAGTGAGCGCAGGTAGGCGCACCTGGACGCCCATGAGGCTCCGCCCACACTCTGACACCAGTACCACATTAAAAGTACACATCATACAGCATAGTGTTTATCAAGTATCATATTGTGTCATGTACTTTATTCTATGTGTTTAACACTTTGTCTAGTTTCTATCCTACGGGGTGAGTTTAGATTAATAGCGTTTTATTTGAATCAATAAGATCATTAATAAATTCAATATGCAAAGTAACTGAAGCTGTCAGACCCATGTAGTACAGTAAAAAGTACACGTTACCTGTGAGACGGACTACTGCAAGAAGTATTACCTCAGATATTGTGAAGGACAAGGAAACGGGAACACTAAAGTAAAGCACAAGGATTAAACAGTATTAATTTATTAAAGGATGTGAGGAGACCCGGACCGCCATTCAGACTCTACAGCTTCAACTGTAATAATAATAAATACTTAATATGAATTATTGAATATTTCCATCTACTTATGCTTGAATGTTTCTATTTATTTCATTGTTTGACAACACAATGTCTGACAAAGGAAGGATCAGGTCACCAGCCAGAGAGAAGAGAATACATTATGGGCCTTGTCACCTTTTTACACTCAGGGATCTAAGAGACGGATTCGAGAAATGTACCAAAGCAACTGAGAAAAACTGTAAGTACTATATTGATCACTGATGATGTCACTTATCTACCATAAAATATGAACTGATTAATTGTTGTACTTAATGAAATCTTTTATAAAGTAATGCAATGTGATGTAATAAAACAGCCCTGAATTAAACGTCCACCTCAGGGACGTTTTATGTGTTTCTTGCATCCAGCTGCTCCTCTTCTTCTTCGCAAACAGCTGGCCAGCTGTTGTGATCTCGTCCACTCACGTGTTTCTTGATCCTCTCTCATTTAAGGAGGCAGCTCCTCGGCGGCCGACCTGCAGCTCGCCCGGTGTCCACTAGAGGGCGCTGCTCCGTCAGGTCCGACCTCCACCCACTGCCTCCGGAGCTCCTTTCATATAATTATGAAATAACCACATCATGGGGACTTTAATGAACGTGTGAGTTGATGCTGTTGAATCCAGCAGACAGCTGATTGGACAAAAGGAAGCACGTGGTTTCTGTAGTCTTTATTAGTGAATGGAATATACACCTGTGTGCTTTAATGCTGCTTTCTCCTCCACTTTACACCTCCTCCACTCCTCCGTCAGCTCACTGGATGAAGCTCTGGTTCTCACCTGAAGGGCTTCTCCAATACACTCCCCACATTATGAATAATATGAAATAACAATAAGAAACGTGACCCATCAATTCATTAAAGGAATAATGAACTTGTTTTCTTTTAAATCCAACACTTTAAGTAGATTTTGCATTTTTCAGTGTTTGAATTCAGTTCAAATATGTTTACTGATGATATAAAAGGATACAAATAAATACAATAATAATGTTTAGCCAGTGTTTGTATGGAAGACTAAAGACTAAAGACAATGAATTCATTTAGTTACTTCATAGTTAAAAATTCTGATTGGTATTCAGAGGGAACGTCTCCGTAGAAAATAACTCATTTTAAAACAAACACAAAACAAGTTTGTCTTGTTTCCACTTTCTGAACAAAGTGAAGACATTGAAACGATATTAAAAAATATGTATTTTATGACACAAACGTTGAAAAGTTTCATCCAGTGAACTTGTTTCTTTGAGCCGCTGGAGAAAACAGATAAAATACCTACAACGGTACCCATGCATAGTAGTGAGCGCACACACACACACACACACACACACACACACACACACACACACACACACACACTCACTCAGTCGAGCAACATGCCTGAATCATACTTTTTCTATTATCTGTTTAGTTTCTTCTCGTGGTGCAAACACTCTTCTTTGAAAGGTCTCAGGGGGGATTGGGGGGTTTGGGGGGTTTGGGGGGTTTGGGGGATTGGGGGGTTTGGGGGTTTGGGGGTTTGGGGGGATTGGGGGTTTGGGGGATTGGGGGATTGGGGGGTTTGGGGGTTTGGGGGATTGGGGGGTTTGGGGGATTTGGACCAACCAATGAGAGGAGGAGACAAATGAAGGTGCTCATGCTATTGGTCGGATGATGTGTGGTGGTGTTAGTAGTGCTACGTCCACATGCTCCACCTCATTTGTTTTAATGTCTCTTTTTTTGGTTGAGGGTTTTCATTCAGAAGATGCAGGTGAATGTTTATGATACAAAATATGTTACAGTCGATCACTCGTCTGCCGATTGGTCAGAGGAGGCGGAGCCGAACACGGCGCCATCGTGCACTCTTCAGGGAAAAAGGGTTTCATCTTAAATATACTAATCAGTGTCGACACACCCGTGTGTTCTCTGTACGGACGCTGCGTCCCAGAGCGTAGCTCAGCGCGCTCTGGGACGCCTCTGGGACGCCTCTGGGACGCCTCTGGGACGCCTCTGGGACTTCCTAACAGAAGACACATTCTCAGCAGCTTCTGAGGTCACAGTTCGAAGATCTTACGGAGCATCGTTGTTAAACAAAACTGAAGCATCTTCTTCCCGAACGTGTTGAAATCAAACCTTTTTTTCCCAGAGTGCACCTCACCGGGACTGCCGACGCATAGAAGTCTACTGTGAATACCTGTTGTGCGCTGTCCACCAGGGACAGATCCCCCAGCAGCCGAGTCTCTCGGCCCGTGTGATGATTGCTGTACTTTTGTGACACATTATTGTTGTTATTATTATTCTCTTCGTGTTGAGCATCAACGTCTCTTTCCTGCTTGTCGTGTTGCATATTTTTAAAAGTAAAAGGCTTTCGTTTTCCGGTCTAGACGTCAGTGTCGCACCGACAAACATTCCGGAGCTACAGCTGGACTGGAAGAGTCCACATCGGACCGGATGGATCCAGAGTCCCTCCTGTAACCCACCCGTTATCTCTGCAGTCCTGTTTAGAAAACCAGCTTGAGTCCCCTGAGTCCAGTCCAGCTCAGTGTGGGGACCGAGGCTCAAGCTCTGCGTAGATCAGGTAAACCTGGGGCAGTTGGGTTCACGTGGTCTGGATGGTCCTTCTGGTTCTGTCACCTCTCACAACCAAACTCTTTTCCTACCTTTTATGTGTGACCCGAAACCGGCAAACCAAAGCTGGTGACGAGATCCTCCGTGCAGACCTAGAACCTTCACACGTTAAACACAATAGGTCCAACGCGTCACTTCAACTGTCATCGGACGCACGTTGTCCTGGTGACCATCTACTCACATGCAGAGAAACTGATGAGTCCCAAGCTGCTGGGGGAGTGGGAGGGGGGGCGAGGGAGTCGGTCGTCTTCATCCAACGAGAGAAGAGTCTGACGGACTTAGGCACTCTGAAGTCCTTCAGATTCACCATGAAACTGAACCACCGGACCAGACACCCCTGGCCCGGTGTCCCCAGTACCCGTAGAAACACAAGGACAGGCCGCAGGGGGGGGGGCTTTGGGTGCCTTGGCACTGTTTACAAGAACCGCCCCAAAAGTGTGTGTTGGGGTAAAATCAGCAGGGCGGTTGGGGGAGACATGGCGGTTCTGCAGGAGGACAATTTTTCTTTACAAATTCCTTTTCTTTCAAATTTCCATTTTCTTTTTATTGTCAGCTTGTGTTATAAAAAGCCGTCAGCGCAGAAAGAGGAAGTGAAAAGCGGGTTTGAGGGGGGGGGGGCAGGTGGTAGGTTATAATGAGGAGATCTTGAAGGTGTCGTGGGTGTAGGCGGTTGCCCGGGTGTTGCGCAGGATGCCGGGGGCGGGGCTGTCATCGGGCGAGTTGGCGGGCGGCGTGGGGATGCTGATGATGGCGGCGGTGAAATCCGGCGCGCCGCAGTTCAGCTTCAGGTCCACCGTCTGCGCGTTGAGACTGGAACGACTAGAGGGGGAAAGAGAGACGTAACAGGGGTTCTACTTCAGACGAGGAACCAAGGGAACCTCCAGAAGGTTCTACTTCAGACGAGGAACCAAGAGAACCTCCACATGGTTTTATTTGACACGAGAAACCTAGGGAACCTCCAGAAGGTTCTACTTCAGACGAGGAACCAAGAGAACCTCGAAAAGGTTCTACTTCAGACGAGGAACCAGGGGAACCTCCAGAAGGTTCTACTTCAGACGAGGAACCAAGGGAACCTCCAGAAGGTTTTACTTCAGACGAGGAACCAGGGGAACCTCCAGAAGGTTCTACTTCAGACGAGGAACAATGGGAACCTCCACATGGTTCTATTTGACACGAGAAACCTAGGGAACCTCCAGAAGGTTCTACTTCAGACGAGGAACAATGGGAACCTCCACATGGTTTTATTTGACACGAGAAAACAAGGGAACCTCCAGAAGGTTCTACTTCAGATGAGGAACCAAGGGAACCTCGAAAAGGTTCTACTTCAGACGAGGAACCAGGGGAACCTCCAGAAGGTTCTACTTCAGACGAGAAACCAAGGGAACCTCCAGAAGGTTCTACTTCAGACGAGGAACCTTGATGTACAGAACTTATGCTCAGCAAACTCTTCTGTTTTCTTGAATAATATGTTCATGGAGTGCTGTAGGTTGTGTGTCTGCGTGTTTGTTTACACACTGCATGTGTACCTCTGAAGCGTTGGTGTGCAGGTTGTGTGTTTGTGTGCAGGTTGTGCGTCCTTGCGTACCTCTGAGGCGTCTTGGTGTGCAGCGTGCTCAGCTCCTGGCCACTCCCCCTGCTCACGGACACGGTGCTGTTGGCGAGGCGTATGGCGGCTCTCCTCCTGGCACGCCGCGGGCAGCAGCCGGTGGAGTTGTCAGTCGCCCCCTGCTGGCTGGAGAGGGAGGTGCTGCGGCTGGTCCGGCAGCCCGCCGAGTCCGAGGTGCACAGCTCGCTGTAGTTCATCTCGTTGGTGAACTCGTGGTTCTGATGACACATGTAGAACCTCAGTGGTGTCTAATATATCTATATGTTTATATCAACATGTGTATATCTTTTAGGGCTGTCAATAGATAAAAAAATAATAATAATAATTAATTAATTGCAAATTTTTTAATTCCTTCATTAATCTCAATTATTGAATGTTGTTGTTGTTACAATGTTGTTTATGATAAATGCTTGTTTGTCTTCTAAAGACTAAATCTTAGAAGTAAGAAGTAATGACTTTAGAAAGCATGTATTTTAGACACAGTTGTTTAGTTGTTAATGTTATTTTAAACATTTGATCGTGTTTGAGGCAGAATTCCTCCTGGTGGAACACGTGGAACACGTGGAACATGTGGAGCATGTGGAACATGTTGAACACGTTGAACACGTGGAACACGTGGAACACGTGGAACACGTTGAACCTGCGTCTCTTCCTGTCGTCCTCGTGCACTTTGCTCTCAACTCTCCATCATTCGACGTGTTTAAAGTGCCAACATGTCCCACATTCAGCAGGACGTTTTAAACCACGTCTTTTGGGGACACAGTGGTCCTCTGCAGACTGTGTGTCTCTCCATCTTGTAACTGACTGCAGTCAGCGGCCGTTTTGTTTCTGTGTTCAACTTCCGGTTTCCTTCCAGTCCCGAAGGTGAACGACCGTTAAACTGTTATTAAGTTTAATTCATGACTATTATTAACGGAATGCTTTAATGTCGGCAGCCCTCATGTCTTTCTGTCTCATGAACATCACCGTGGTCTTCTCCAGGCAGTGCAGCAGGTGGTTGTGTTGATACTCAAAGGCCGACCTGTTCTTCACACACAGAGCCGTGGTGTCGCTGTCCTGAACGCACAACAAGAACACACAACCTCAGTGTGTCATCAGACAAACACAACACAGATAACACATAAAGACTATTACTAGTCATTGTTGTACATTGAGTTTATAATAAGAATAATAATGATTCCTCCAGCAGTTACTCTTCATCTCCCTGATCATCAGCTGGTCGTGTGTGTGTGTCTGTGTGTGTGTGTGTGCGTCTCACCCCGAGGGCCCGGTCCTCTTTGTACTGCAGGAAGGCGTTAGCCGCTCCTTTCTTCGCCATGCGGATCCGAGCCATGCGAACCTTCTGAGGGACAGAAACACACAGGAGGCCCATCAGCATTTAGGGCACACACAGACACACAAACACACACCGACAGTGGCACAAAATGACATGTAATGTAATGTAACTGTGGTTGTAGCATGCTAACAGTTTTAGCAGCTAGCACAGGTTGTCATGGATACTGTCTGTAGATTCTTATATTAATGACTCTAATAGGGTTAGAAACAGTTAGAGGGAGATGAAGCGGCGTGCTGACGTAGAACTGCTTCGGGGAGACACTCGGACCCCCACCTGCTGCGCCCTCATCTTGTCGGCCCTCTGGTTCTGGTGGTAGATGCGGCTGAAGTTGGACACGATGACGGGGACGGGCAGCGCGATGACCAGCACGCCGCTCAGAGAGCAGATGGAGCCGAAGATCTTCCCTGCGATGGTGTTCGGAACCATGTCTCCGTACCTGTGTGTGGGGGGGGGGGGGTCACACCGTCACACAACAACACACACAACATCCAAAGCGACTTACGAAACGTGCATTTTAACCCCAACGATACAAACTCAGAAAAACAAGAAACAAAAAAGTGTGATTTCCTCCAATAAGCCAATTTACAATTAAATTGGCTTATTTGTTTCTTGCTCTTCTGAGTCCCGCCCTCCTCTGACTCTGATTGGTTTATTTCAGGTTCACGGCCAATCGAACCAGCGATGGCAGCGAGTATCAGCCAATACGGGGCTGAATAGCATGCTGCATTGAGACAAACGCCGCCCCGTATTGATTCAAAACGAGACGCGTTATTTTATTCTCAAATACGGGACGATTCCGTATCTTAAGGGACGGGTGGCAACGCTCGTGTCGCCCTAAGTCCAGGTTACACAATAAAATAAATTATTTGGATGAATTGATTCCAGTTTAGCAGCAAGAGCTGCTTTGCTAATGCTAATGTGAGCGCTAATTGCTAGCTAACGTTAGAGCTGGTGGCTTTCAGGTCAGATGATTAAACCAGGAAGTAACACTTTGATTTATCACCACTACGATCACAGGTTAGCTTGGTTTAGGTTAGCTAACACAGTTAGCTTCAGTCAGTTAAAAGGTCCCAGGTGTGACAGATCAGTTCAACTGAAACTGTTTGATTTAATTTCGTTCAGGTTCAGTTTGAAGCTAACAAGTCATTGCAACTAAACCAGTGAGTCATCTTTTCTGTGGGATTAGTTATGCTCAGGTTAACTTAACTAAACTGAGTTTAGCATCTGTCATCAGCTAATGAATCTGTGCTAAAGTATCTACTATTGTTCCATATGCAGATTAATGCGACATAATAGATGAGGACAAAAACACATGAAGATCACGGACATCAGCTCAGTGAAAAAGTGACTACTTCTCTCGTTATTTAGTCTCAGTAAATAACTTCTGATCGTATATAACTTAAGGGTTTTATTTTATCACAGGATAAGTGCACGTTATCACCCACAACGAGGGGATTATACCGGTATTACAGTTAGAATCCAACAAACTTAAAAAAAGATGGAGCTGAATCTTATTGTCTCACTTCCTTAGTTCAACGTTCTTGCTGCTCCATAAATCCTCCTCGTCACCGTTAATCGATCATTAGCATCAACATTTTCAGCCAGCAGAGGTCATTAAAATGTGAGTTTAAAATGTAGGAGGTTGTTACTGCAGAGAGAGAGAGTGTGTGTGAGTGTGTGTGTGTGTGTCAGTGTGAGTGTGTGTGTGTGGTAAATAATGGATGCGGCATTAGAAGGCTTGTTAGAGACACAGAGGGACGAGAAGGTTTATATCCTTTTCCTTCGCTAGACACATTTGCTTTATTTCCTTCCTGTCTCTTTGTCTCTGTCCTCTGTCCTCTGTCCCTCCATCAGCGTGACGTTCATGTCGTACATTATGGTCCCTGTAGCGTCAAACAGAGCATAAAGCAGCGGGTGCTTTAGGGCGGGGCTACACGCTGATTGACAGGTCATTCACACCCAGGCTGGCTTCAAATGACCTCCTAACCTGGTGGCAGGTTAGGAGGTCATTAGGAGGTCAGGTGGCAGGAGGTGGCAGGAGGAGGAGGCAGGAGGCGGCAGGAGGTGGCAGGAGGAGGAGGCAGGAGGCGGCAGGAGGTGGCAGGAGGAGGAGGCAGGAGGCGGCAGGAGGTGGCAGGAGGAGGAGGCAGAAGGCGGCAGGAAAAGGCAGGAGGTGGCAGTAGGAGGCAGGAGGTGGCAGGAGGTGGCAGCAGGAGGAGGCAGGAGGTGGCAGCAGGAGGAGGCAGGAGGAGGCAGGAGGTGGCAGCAGGAGGTGGCAGGAGGAGGCAGGAGGTGGCAGCAGAGGAGGCAGGAGGAGGCAGGAGGTGGCAGCAGGAGGAGGCAGGAGGTGGCAGGAGGTGGCAGGAGGTGGCAGGAGGCCCGGGTCAGTTGTTCTGAGCCGCTCCCCCACAACTCTCAATATTTCATGATGGTTGTGTGTCAGCCAGGGCCACCGTGCAGACACACAACCAGAGCTGCCGTTAGTACTCAGATCCTTTACTCAGGTACAGGTAGTAGTACTACACTGTATAAATCAGGTATATCCTGCACTCCGAATCTACTACAAGTACAAGTACCAGCTTCACAATCTGCTTAAAGTACACAACTGTTAATCGATTAATCTGTAATAATAATCATTGTTTGTGCAACAAAAAGTACAATATGTACCTCTGAGATGTAATACAGTGAAAAGTACAATATGTACCTCTGAGATGTAGTACAGTGAAAAGTACAATGTGTACTCTGAGATGTAATACAGTGAAAAGTACAATATGTACCTCTGAGATGTAGTACAGTGAAAAGTACAATGTGTACCTCTGAGATGTAGTACAGTGAAAAGTACAATATGTACCTCTGAGATGTAGTACAGTGAAAAGTACAATGTGTACCTCTGAGATGCAGTACAGTGCAAAGTGCAATACGTAGTCTGAGATGTAGTAAAGTGAAAAGTAGTATATGTACCTCTGAGATATATCAAAATAAAAAAAACAATATTTAACATGTTATGGAATAGGTAGTAGTAGCAGATACAAGTACTTTAGAAGTGTACTTTGGTGCAGTACTGAGTACTGACTGAGACAGGAAGAACTAAGACGAAGAGAGAAGCAAGAACTCTGCTGGTCACTGATTGGAGCAGATAAGAAGCCATTAGGAGCAAGTCAGCCAATCGGACGCTCTGACCGATACTTATCTCCCGCCTCTGAGAGGCGAGCCGAGCAATCACAATCTGATGGAGACAGGCAGCCAATGGGGATCCTTTCATAGAGGGCAATTATGCTGAAGGGTAAATCCCTCCAATTAAAAGAGATCCGAAGGTGCACCGATCAATACTTATAAAGTCAGAGACAAAGAGTCTTTGTTACTTTGATATATTTCTACCACAATGGTTTAGGGGAAAGGATACCTGAACACAACTTCTCTATCAACAATGCTAGCATGCTAACATGTCGACCAGTGTACCATGTTAGCATGCTACCGCTAACTGTTGACCTGCTGGTGACGACGATATGAAGTCCCATTAATATCTGAAACAAATGTAAAAACATCCTCTTTCCTCGTTTCTCACTCCTCTTACTCCTCCTCCTCTCCCTCCCTCCTCTCCCCCTCCCCCTCCCTCTCCCCCTCCCTCATCCTCTCCCTTCACAAGGACGTTGGTATTGACCGGCTCCGTTTGTTTTCCTGTCTGAACTCTTCTATTCTGGGTTACAGCTGTCCGCTAAAAGCCTCCCTCTTCCTCCTCCTCCTCTCCCTCCTCCTCCTCTACCTCCTCGTCTTTCCTCTCCGTCACCTTCCTGCCTTTCCATAAAGCCTCCTGTCCTCTCCTCAGTGTAACCCACCCACATGTTTAATTGATGGAGTGATGATGAAAGTTTCAGGAGGCTGGATGGTGGTTCCATGTTTCCCTCTCTCTCTCCCTCTCTCTCCCTCGCTCTCTTTGTGTCTCTCTCTCCGGCGATGCTTCAGGGCCTGGTTGTATTCTAAGGTCTGTCCCACAGACGTATATATGGTATATATATATACATATACATATACACATATGGTCACTTCTCGTTCACTGGTTGCCAAAAAACAAGATGGCGACAACGAAAACGTAACTCTAACTGCTTCAAAACCTCCCCAAGAAAAGAGAGGCGTCACCATGACGACGTCCAGTCACATTCAATCATTAAAAGAAATGAGAAAAACAATAAGAAACACTCTCAGGTGCACCTCTAGATCTGAGGCCATGGTTCTCAGCAGGAAACCGATGGATTGTCTACTCCAGGTAGGGAATGTGTCCTTACCCCAAGTCAAGGAGTTCAAATACCTCGGGGTCTTGTTCACGAGTGAGGGGAAGATGGAGTGTGAGTTTGGGTGGAGAATCGGAGCAGCGGGGGCGGTGTTGCACTCGCTTTACCGCACCGTTGTGACGAAAAGAGAGCTGAGCCGGAAGGCAAAGCTCTGATCTACCGGTCAGTCTTCGTTCCTACCCTCACCTATGGTCATGAAGGACGGGTCATGACCCAAAGAACTAGGTCACGGGTACAAGCGGCCGAAATGGGTTTCCTCAGGAGAGTGGCTGGCGTCTCCCTTAGGGATCGGGTGAGAAGCTCAGCCATTCGCGAGGAGCTCGGAGTAGAGCCGCTGCTCCTTTGCGTCGAAAGGAGCCAGTTGAGGTGGTTTGGGCATCTGGTGAGGATGCCCCCTGGGCGCCTCCCTAGGGAGGTGATCCAGGCACGGCCAGCTGGGAAGAGGCCCCGGGGAAGACCAGGACCAGGTGGAGAGATTATATCTCTGCACTGGCCTGGGAACGCCTTGGATCCCCCAGTCACAGCTGGTAGATGTGGGAAAGGGAAGTTTGGGGTCCCCTGCTGGAGCTGTTGCCCCCGCGACCCGACCCCGGATAAGCGGTTGAAGATGGATGGATGGATGGATGGATGGATGGATGGAACACTCTCAGGTGATGAGATCATTCTATGACACAACTCCTGATAATATTTGCAGCAGAATAGGAAAAGTACATGATTAGATCATATTATACATAAAAAAAATCAATAAGGCCTTTTTTCTGATCTATTTTAAGTTTTCCTGACTTTCTTTTCATCCTTTTTTACTTCTCTCCTCCTCTTTTTCTATTTATGACACACACACACAAACAGGCTGATATCTGAGCCATCAGAACCTTCAGAGGAAAACACAATAATGAAGACTGAGGGCCTCAAACGCACACTTGCAGACGCAGCGTTATCAGCGACACGGCCGACGTGCCCAAAGCGCTCGCTGTTTATTCAGAAACCAGCTCATCAGGTTTAAACGCGTACCTGAGCGGCCTCCTCCTCTCTTTCTATCACGGATCAGCCAAAGTCAAACAGCAAAAACTCAAATCCAGTGACACTGAAGCCGGTGTGTTATTTGGGCATCAGTGGTGGAAATGTGTAGTGGGCTGCAGCAAAGCGT